AAAGAGAGAAGAGAGAAAAGAGAGAGGGTGGGGAGAAGAAAAGAGAGAGATGATGCTGAGAGAAACAGAGAGGAAAGAGGAGAGAGAGAGGATAGAGGAGAGAGAGAGGATAGAGGGAGAGCGACGAGAGAGAGAGAGAGAGAGAATGAGAAGGGGTAGGGATAGATACAGATACACAAAGAGTAGAGAGCAAGAGAGGAAAGAGGGAGAGAGAGAGAGAGAGAGGATAGAGGGAGAAAGAGAAGAAGAGAGGGAGGGAGACAGAGAGAGAGAAAGAGGAGGAGAAAGGGAGCGAGAGAAAGAGAGAGAGAAGGTGATAATAATAATAATGATAACGATAATAATGATAATAATAGTAATAATAACAGCAATAACGATTTTGATCATAATGATAGCTATACGAAAATAATAACAATGATGATAATAATGACAACTATAACAATGATCATCACAGTAATATGATAAGGAGAGAATTAAAACCGGTAATTCTGAAGGAACAGCTGCGACACCTGCAGTTGACCTCTCAGGGCGATAGGTCGACCTCTTGCCGTGAGATCGAGCGAGTTACAACCAAGGTCTATATAAGCACTTAATTGTACTTATATAGATTAAATGTACTTGTATAAATTAAATGTACTTATATAAATTAATTGTATTTATATAAATCAATTGTACTTATATAAATTAATTGTACTTATATAAATCAATTGTACTTTTATAAATGTACTTTATTAAATCAATTGTACTTTTATAAATCAATTGTACTTTTATAAATCAATTGTACTTTTATAAATCAATTGTACTTATATAAATTAATTGTACTTTATAAATTAATTGTACTTATATAAACCTTGGTCACAACTACCGCGGCAGGAGATTCAACTCGGGGCTATGAGGCTCGGAATCTTATCTCCTTAAGGCGTCTTAACTTACGAGCGATCTTAAGGTGCTGTCACACTAGCACTTTTTCCGTCCATTTTTTTACAATTTTCTGATTTTTTCCCATTTTTGAGCGAATTGTCGATTCTCCAGTCAGACGATAATGATCGTTTCCGTCTGAAAACCTTTCCGTCAACTTTTTTCAGCCAAGCACAGTCAAATCAAAAGCTATATTCGAGAATGTTTGTATTTATGCTACATAAAATTGTCAACAGACTGATGGAAAAAGTGCCAGCGTGACAGCACCTTCACGGCCCCTACAGAGAGCAAGGGACCTGCCATATTGGTGCGAGTGGAGGCGCCGTAGACTAAGGCAGGGGGAGAGCAGCAGCCTTGGCGAGTTCCGGCGGCCGGGAAAGCAACTCTTCGCTCTTGTACAAAGGAAATACAGCAGGATGGATAAGGCTTCCAGCGAGACTTAACTTGAGGGTCGTTTAAGAATCCTGTACAAGGGAAATACAGCAGGATGGATAAGGCTTCCAGGGTGAAGTTGCAAATATTATGATGTGTAAGTCTTCTAATTGAATACATTATTGCGATGTTGGTGTGCTAGAGTGCATGTTTGTGTGCGTGTGTGTGTGTGTGTGTGCATCATCCAGCTCGTGTACATTTGTTTGTAAAATATGCCTGCTGCCATTGCTACGGACTTTCATTTAGTAACCAATCGGGATAATATTGACTCTTGCCACCCAGAGTGAAGTGCGGTTGGGAGTGTGTTACAGTTTCTCCCATTTATTCTCTCCAGCACATGTGCGTGTGCGTGCTGCCATCTGTGTTCGTGTGCGTGCTTCCATCTGCGTCTGCACGTATGTATTTTTGTCTGTGTGAGTGCGTGTGCTTGCGCGCCTGCGTGGTGTGCATTCGTGCGTGTGTGCGTGGAAGGACACGCGGCGAAGCGAGTGATAATCACCATAACCTTTGTGATAAGAGTGACGAGCATAACAACTGCAACAATTATTATTCTAAAAATAATATCGGTGATGATAACAGCAACACTGACAGTTATCATAACGTTAAGAGTATCTATTTAAAAAAAAAGTAATAACAGACATTAATGATATCAGCGATAACTGATAATAGCTATCATAACAATAGCCATTAATAGTAAAATATCCTCCTCATATTCATGAAAATCCGAGATAATAACCATAATAACGATAATGGTAGGAGACGAGGAAGCGATGGAGGACAGACAGACAGATATAGACAGACAGACACAGAAACAGAACAGACAGACAGAAGATTCAAAAGAGAGAGAGACACAGAGAAGAAAAAAAAATAATTTATAAAAATACAGAAAAAAAAATTAAAAAATGATAAATCGATTAATGATAATAATAATGATGATAATTATTATGATAATAACTATAATAATAAAGATAAGAGAGAGCTGAAAAAGTTAGTTCGAATTAAACTGCATCTTATCTCACCTACAGTACCCTACATATCACTTATCTCTCACTTATTAATAAATTGGAATCTTCCCATTAATTATTCTCGTCCTATCTCTCTCTCGCTCTTTCTACACCATTCATGATAATTAAAAAGTAAATTTAAAAAG